TACACAAGTTTTGATTTATCTAACAGCTTACATTTCTGACCTGTCAGTAATATATCCTTTTAATTTAGTTTATATAAATTTATTTTTTCAGAATTAAACTCTAATTGATACCATAATATGGGCAATATTTTATCAGCTTTTAAATAAATAGTTATAACATTATATATAATTATATATATAATCTGAGAAGAATGACCATATACAACAGATATGTAATTTTAACAAAAGATCATCTTTATTGCTTCATATAAACAATAGTAGACTGATCATAAATATGGGGGTGACTCTGAAAGTTTTGCAATACAGGAATACTATAAGGCTTGAAACAAAATATTTTTTATTTATGCTCTTATATAGTTGCTCCTTCCAAAGATCAAAAGCACACCACCACTCATTTTCTGGAATGCTATCAAAATACTGTTAGAGGATGAAATTAAAGCTTCCATGTGTTAAATTTGTGACTCCTCAAATGTTTTTTGAAATTAAAAAATATTCAGAAATCACACAATGCCAAATATGGTGAATGTTCAATGATTCTGATATTATTAGGTTGAAGGAAATCAACTTGGCAGTGTGTGATGAAGGATTATCATGATGCAAAATTAGACCTCAAATTTTCAGTGACTTCAGAATTGTAGGAAGACAAACTGTAGTGTACCAATTAGCTGTTACTGTCTGCTGTTCATCAAGCTTAATTGCTTTTGCCAGACCAGAGCGAGGGAGAAAAAATAGCAAACATGACTTTTTTTATTGCTCTCTGCCTTTTCACAGTTGCTGGAATTAGATCATCTTTATGGATCCAAACCCAGCCTTCTTGACATGCGAGATGGTCATAAAATGGTATGTATGTCTCGTCACCTATGACAATCTTGGAAATAATCTAGTGTCCATCTTGGTTTAACATCTCCAGAGTTTTCTTAGAGATTCTGATATGTCATGATTTTTAGAAATCTGTTAACTGATGGTATCCATCAAGACACTACTTTTTTTTTTAAAAGTAAGTCCTTAAGCAGAATGAGCCAAACTGCAGATTCCGATCTGTAGTCTCTCCTACATCATTTCATTGGTACATCTTTGACCTTCTGCAATCATACATTGGACAGCAGTTATGTTTTTGGGAGTCACTACTGTAACCAGTGGGTCGGCACTAGATCAGCAAAGGCAATTCGTTCATTTGTTCCACATGCAAGCAGTCAGATTCAAGAGTTTGGATGTCTGAGAGACAACACACAGAAAGAAGTGCACACTACAACTTAAATAAATGGGTATTATTTCTTTATAATTATGTAAACTATTTACACATATATACATAGAAAGTCCTGTTATAGCTTTTATGTAGTGTAACAGAATTGATTAGGCTTTATACTAAATTAATGGGTTCGTAGCCGAGAGAGAGAGAGCGAACGAGCTTACATTATTACATGCTAAATACCTTGATTGGTTCTTGATCAAAGTCTTCAGGTCGCAAAATGTCCTGATGACGGGGTGAAGAGGTTTCAGCTAGTTAGACTCCTTGATAGTACAGTTTCCTGTCAAATGTTTGTTGCTAAGGTGTCTACGGTGAACAGCGGTTGAAGGGATCAGCGATGGAGCACTCAGAAGAAAAGGAGGATATCGGTGAACTCTCATTGTTGACTTTGATGTTCACCTTTTATTTTATGCCCTTTTTAAGCAATGTTAAGTTTTTTGACCAATAGATGAATTTTGGATGAAAGTTCCTGGTGACACATACATTCGGAAGATGTGTCACCTTTGGAAAAGAAGTAAATCTGGGGGAAAGATGTGATCACATCCTTCCATTTTTTATTAAGTGTTTGGAAATTTTTCTTTATATAATATGTGTAACTTAAGCATTATTCTTAATTAATTTGGAAATTTTAATTAACCACAACAAAATATATCATCTCATCCGGTCTCTCACACTACTGTTCATGGACACACATCCATAATGAACCATGTGAAGAATGACACCTCTGAAATTTTTTGTACCACCTAAACACAATAGTAAAGGATGGAGCAAAGAGCCAATTTCAATTGTTTATAACAGTCTGTCATTCAGTCCAACACAAAAATAGTAAATCATTTAAATAAGTACTTCTCTAGAAAGTTCCATTGTTGTTAGATTGAAAGGGGATCTGTCTTAATTATAAAGTTGTTTATGTGTCACATGAAGTCTGTTATAAAAAAAATCAACATTAAAACTAAATCAGCATGGATGGTTTTCTTGTATTGCAAAACTTTCAGAGTAACCCTCATAAATTATCAAAATATAATTTGAATAATGTACTCCTATCTTCAACAACTGCACTTAAAAATTAAATGTTTGGCTAGAGCAAGAGTTGGAATCATGATCAAGGGCCCATTGGCCCCAAAGCTTTGGTTTTCAGCACAAAATTATGGTATTTACAAAGCAGTTGTTGATAACATGTAACAAAATCACAAAACGGAGAGAAAAGTCATATCATTTTAAAATTGAAACAAAGTAAATGAATTATATTCAACTTTTTAATTAAAAATCGATTCTTTACACTTTATAAAACATATCAAAGATTAACAATTTATTTCATAATTTTATGTATATAAAAAAATTCTTTACAAGGCTATTGGCAAATACTTCAACATTTTGATCTGACAAATTCATTTTTTAAAAATTTTTTTAAAAATTTACAATTTTTGAATTCACTTCAATAAAATTAAATTTTTTTTATATACACTTACTAGTAGAAGAACCTGGCATTGCCTGGGCAAAAAATAACAACAGCAAAGATTATAATATTGGATTGTTTGGAAAGTAAGTTTGTTTTTTCCGTGGAATAAAAACAATTATTTTAATATATAATTCAATAAAATGTTTATTTATTATAGACTATTTTGGTCAAATACCTGTTGTCATTGTTTCTGGAAGTAGCATGATTTCACATTCCTAAAAGTTTTGATCGTTGCTTACAAAAAACTGATCCAAGTGATTTTTGACATTGTCGTTTCAAGTAAATGTCTTGCAGCTAAAAAAATTTGTATAGACCGAAACAATCTGAGTGTGCTTGATCTGGCGAATATGGTTGGTGTGACAGCATGTCCCATCTAAGTTACAGCAGTTTCTGACAAGTTACCAAACTTGTGTGAAATTTGACATTATTGTGGTAAAACACTAAACCTGTTTTGTTGATCAATTCTGGCGCCTTTTCTGTTTGATGATATTACTCAATTCAATTTTTTTTACACTTTCAAATCAATTGTTAAATTGTCTGGTAAAAGCTCCAAAAAAAAAAATTTCCTTAAAATCCCACCAAAGAGAGCATCTCTCTTTAAGAACATGTGCTTTGAGCTTTGAAACGAAACCAATTTGTTTCAAGTAATCATAAGTGGTTCAATTTGACAAATTTTATCTCTTAGTGATTTCACGTGTTGTTATTTGGCAGTTTGCTTCAATCAGTTCCTTTATTTTGTTTTCATTGGCTTCAACTGGCCTTCCAGAACATGGTGCATCTTCAATATTGAAATTGCCAGAACAAAATACTTTCTGAACAACCTAATAGAATGGTTAGAAGTAAGAAATTATCTAATAACTTTTGTAGTTATACAGGGTGTCTCAGTTAAACATTTCAGAACTTCCAAGAGGGGTTGGGTGGTATGGTATGGTGCATCCTGACGACTCAGAATCATATAGAAATGCAGGGTCAGAAATGCTTTCCTGAAGTGGTGATGTACACAAACATCACCACTTCAGTGCAGCCTGCTGGTGCAGCCTTGCAAAGAAATTATTGCTGGGAATATGCTTCATTGGATATCATTCCATGTACAAGCGCTGTGCAGCTGGCCCCATACACCAAATGCATATCGGCTAACTCTGCATCCTTGTGTGAAATGACGATTCTCTGAAAGAATGCTCTGAACTTTCATGCAATGCCATCTACTGCATCAAGAAAGCATTTCCGACCCTGCATTGCTATATGATTCTGAGTCGTCAGGATGCACCACACCATACCACCCAACCCCTCTTGGAAGTTCTGAAACGTTTAACTGAGACACCCTGTATAAATCAAATACTATCTTACATAAGGGTTTATCACACCAAGTGACAGATTGGTCACTTGGTGTGATAAACCCTTACATAAGATAATTGGTTTATACAACTACAAAGGTTATTATATTATAGTATTTTAGTGAAGTGTGAATAAAGCATAACTTGAAATTTGCTCCCCTTCATGGCTTGTCCCTAGTTTGACTAAATGATAGTGATGCACGGCCCTGAATATAACAAACAGTAGAACCTCAATTATCCGGATTGTTCAAAATAAACAAAAATTTTACGAATTTGCTGATTTGCACTTGGTGAATTGCGACACTGTTTATATACGTGATGGAATGCATAACTTTTTTGTTCCAACAATGTCTCACCACAAAATTTTGAAAAGACCATTAGAAAATTCCAGTAACACAGTAGAAAGTGGTATAGGAGACATTGCAGAAGCAATAGCACAAATTTCAATATGTATTTTAGTGCTGAATGTGACGAAGAAGATGTAACCAAGTGGTTAAACTGCGATGTAAACAATCCTGGATTCCAAATTTTGAACAATGAGAAAATAATTAAAGAAATATCTGCCTGAGATGAACAAGATTGAGAAGATGGAGAAGAGATTTGCAAAGTAAGAGATATTGGTCCTACACATTCTGAAGCTTTTCAGTGTTTAGATGTCGCTATGAAATGGTTTGAGAGCCAAGGCGGCTTTTAAGACATAGAAGACAACTTATATGTCTTAAAAGTATTTGTGATTTAGCAGCTTCAAAAAGAACAGCTAGCTTTAAAAAAAAATCAATAATTGAATTTCTTAATAAAAAATAATTTAATATTGACACTACAGTATATGTAAATCTAGACAAATAAAAATTATTCATACTGTATGTACAGTACATGTCTTTCACTATCAATTATTATTTTTTTCGGTTACCCGGACTACTTTCATCCCCAATTAGTCCGGATAATCGAGGTTCTACTGTATATATTTTAAAAATTATCCTTTTTTGTAAGAATTATATTTAGCTTATGATTTTAAATTTTTTGCCAATAGATGGTGCTACATGTAAGTCAACAAATTAAATTAATTTACAGAAATTCAATACATATTTTTGGGTGGGATGTGTGACATTATCTAAGTTAGAAGTGTGTAAATATAACTGCCGAATTTTGTAGCAATTGGTTGAACGGCCTAAGAATGCATAGCAAACAAACGTTCTTATTTATATACATAATTTACAATTAATTATTGTTATATTGTTATTATATTACAAATTTATGTAAGTAAAAATTAATTTTTCACATAATAAATAAATACTCCATTATAATCTCTATTATTATGCTTGCTGAACAGAGCCTTGTTGAATGGATGTTGACAAGACGTGGGTTTTGTATTGCATACTTAAACCAGTCATCCAAAATTTTAATAGCTGGAATGTATGTTTAATATTAAAATTTTGAAAAATTCAAAATAAATAATGCTTTTATGTTTGTCTTACCTGTTTATCATGCTCTTGAGCTCCCAAAACTTGTAAAAGTTTATTAGTTTCTTCTTGAGTTCTTTGTCCGGCTCTTGAAAAGGCAAATAATACTTTCACCTTGCTACAAAAAACAAATTTTACTACTTTATATTAAGTTTATCTAAAATAGAAAAAATTCTGGTTAATATTCTAGCATTCTAGGGGGTTTGTTTTAATTAATGCAGGAAAAGAAGAGATTTGAGAAAAATGCTACAATTAATATTTAAAACACTTCAAAATATTTTTCCTTTAATATATGTTTCTCATTTCTTCTAAAAGAAATGATAAAAATAAAATGTATATGAGGAACACAGTAGAAAAAACCTGCATAAAATTGCAATATCCTCACAGAAAAATTTTAAATCATAATTAAGACATAAACTATGTTATAATATAGCTAATAGATTAATATTCGTCACTGGAAATAGGTTCTAGAAGTAAGATTTTTTTCTATTAATATTAATCATTAGTCCATTTAATCTACAAAATCTCAGAAAAAGAATGCTTTTTAAAACACTTAAATTTATACTACCAACTTTTTCCTAAAGCTGAAACAACAAGAGATGAGGCAAAACTTTTGTTGATTTTAATTAAATATATTGAAGGATAAACTACATAATTAGAAACAGAAAAATAGAATTATGACATCATCACAGTTGCAGAAAAGTTTCAATTATATCTATAAAACTGAACAATTTCATTAAAATAATGTAAACTATCCAAGTATATATTGTAAAATGATCAATTTATCATCACTTTTACATTTTGCCCTTAATTAAGGCAAGTGTGTCTTTCTTGATTCTTATTGCAACTTCATAATTATACAATTTTATTTTATAAACTTGGCACTTCTTACATATATGTGTGAGCCGCCTGGGAGGTTGGGAAGTCCTCTCCTTCCGGCCACAGGTCGGTGACCTACTTTCTTGTCAAGGATGGCATTTCGTTCAGTTACGTGTTACACGAGTGGAGGAGAGTCAAAGGGGTCGATGATAAGACGTTGGCAAAGTCAAGTAACGCCACCATTTAAAAACAAAACAACAGTTTATTTAACTTGCTAACTAAATAAAAATTTACAAAACTCCTTCGACTTCGCAGATGAGAGAGAGAGTTCACAATAATATTTCATACCTGAGATAATATCGGATGGATATTCTGGCTTTAATTGTTCCTAAAGGCGGTGCGCGGTGCAGTTCCAGGTCTTCCAATTAAGGTCGTACAGTAGATATAAGGGAAGTTAATGTCCGTCTTGGTCGTCGTTCGTTCGATTGGCGACTCCCCCGAGAGGGGAAGGAGGAGGGCTTTTATACGTTTTGTGGTGGGAAAATTCGTCAGGTGACCAGGTGTGGGGTTAAAGTTAGTATTAGAATGACAACATTATGACGAATTTTGCCGGTAATTGTAAACTATATACGGGTTGATCGTGAGAATGTTTATAGTTAAATAGAAAGAGTTATAAACTTCTCATGCACTTTATATTTCGTTTCTGTAGGTTCAAATTCCTCTAGTTAAAGGAATTTATTATAAAATTAAAGGATTAACTTCTTTTATAAAATTATATGAACTTCAAATTTCACATATGTAATACTTTTGTAGGTTTGCTGATAATTATTTAGAGTAGTGTACATATGGACTAAGTTTAACTCACAACTTGTATTTTTATACAAATAATCTTAAACAGAAAGTTAAACCAAATTTTAAATAGTGTCCAAATTACAAACTGAAAAATGTTTTACTAGTAAATAATGGAAGAGTAAAACTGACATTGTACATTCATTTCTTTTCTTTTTATCTAAATACATAACAAATTTTCCAGTTTTTTTTTACATAACCTTTCTTATACACCTACCCAACATACTTATTCTTAACCTAACATAGCAGTGACATTTATTACAGAATAGTACTAACTATAATGTTTTAAGTATATGTATATAAAATACCATTCCAATAGAGGATGCAGCTCTTGCATACTCCTATAACAAGATTTGGCCACCCCATTATACCAACAAAAAGTGTTCTTATTCCAATCATTGTTTAATTTATCTTAATATTCTTAAAAACTGACAGGAATGTAAGCATTACCTACATAAAAGTTTGGGTATTAAAAATTAATATGTATATATATTTACTTCATCCATTCTTCTTTTAGGGCAACAAGAAAAGCCAATACAGCTGAATCCGATAATAACTGATCTTGAATAATTCTTTCTATTTCACTCAAAACATGAGGAACTATTTTAAAAAATATATATATATATAATTATGTTTAAATCTTTATCAATTTAATTATTGTTGAAGTGTACTTACTTTTTTCTGGTAGTTTTGCATTTGAAAAGAGAGAACAACAAAAATTTAATAGTGGAATGTTTCCACTTCTGTTTAATGTCTCTTCTTTACTTCTAAAATCAACTATTAAATATAGTTCAGAACCCATTACATGAGAAGGAATAACAACATCTGGCTGAAGACTGAGAAAGTTGCATTTCCACGAATCTTCGTATTGAGGAGAATCAAAAATAGGATGATAACATCCCCGAGGCAGAATTTCCTAAATATATAAAAAATTTAATTACTATTTCTAATTGAGTTAATTTTATTAAAAGTAATTAATATTTTTACCTTTATACATAAAATAAATGATTTCATTAGTTCTGGAAAGTTTCCTCTCATTATAATCTGATTTCCAATCAAAACATGATGAGCTAGACTACGGAATTTTTCTTTTCCTAAAAACTAAAAATGAAAAATTTCATGTTAAAAATTAAGTATCAAATTTTAATATTTTTAAATAAAAAATTAAAAAAAATACGTAAGTAATAACAATATATATATGCATTCTGTTTGATAAAGAAACCTAATATTTTTATTTGTAAAAAAGAAAACTAATCAACCACATAAATAGGTAAAAAAAAAATCAAATTTTCCTATAGTTATATCTAATACTATAGGAATCTAATACTTTCAATAGATTTTTTTAGATTATAAAAAAAATACGCTATTTATAAAATCTTTTAAATCTAAATATAAGAAAATGAAGTTTAAAGTATAAAAACTGATGTTCCAAAATATATTTTAATAAAATTGTGATGAAAGCAATATTCAGTTAGTACTTACAAAATGATTTAACAAAAAATGAACTATTAGAAGTAAAATATCAAAACTTATCTACTATTTATATTTTATATAAAACATACTAACAAAATTTATAATTACAGACAAAACACAGAGCATCTGGGACAAAATTAAAACTAATAAAAGACATGTCAAGGGAATGCTTCTTGGATATAAATATCAACTTCTTAGCAACTTCAAAACACTGCAATCTTATCTGTTGATAAATTCTCTGTTGGCTGGATGGCTGAGGCAATTAAGGTGTCAGCTTACCACCCCAGATCAAATCTGTATGAGCAACTGCTTGAAAAATTCTACAGTGATCTGTCCCAGATATGTCAAGTCCCTCACCACCCAGTTGCCCCATTGCAGATCTGGCCAAACCACAATGGTCATAGAAAAAGGCCCTCTTAGTGCCCAAAGAGTAGAAAGTCATAAATAAATAATAATAATAATAATAAAAGTAAATTCAGCTTGGTAGCAATTCGGATATTAGATAATTGAGCTAGGTTATTGTTAGAGATATAACCAATACATCAGTCTATACTGTCAATGTATTGTTATCAGTTCATTTCACAAATCAATGTTCCAATCCCTCTCTTTATTCTTGATTGTGACTATCAAAACACAAAGAAACCAGAACATTGGTTCATAAAACAAACAGATTTCAATATCAAGAAAATTCTGATATGCCAATATATCAGTATTGGATCAGCATCATCTCTAGTTATTGTTTATATTGTTTAATTATTTAATGTATAATTAATTTGGTGTCATAGTCTAATTTCATTCTTTAATGATGTTTCATAGTCTTTCTGCTTTTATTCATTAAAGTTCATTAGAGAATTTTTAATAAGATTAAACATACATTTTTAAAATGCTTTATTTTATTCTACTGTTTAAAACTTTCTTTTCTATTCTACCTATTTGAATAGGAAACTGAAGATGAAGTCAGTTTTCAAAAATGTTTTTTATATAAAAAACTCAATTCTTTAATCAAAAACAAATTCTCAAATGTTTTATTTGTATGGATCTTAGCTAAGATGAATTAATTCAATATTCATCTTAATTAAATTATTTTGATACAATCTAAGAAAACAAATTAAAAGTAGTATTTCTTATTATTATATCATTCAGTAAAAATAAAATTTAGCAACTTACTGATGTCGAATATAAAAGAACATTTATATTTTTTTGGATATATTTTCTATCCAAAAGTAAATAAAAACTAATTTATTAAAACTGTTATTTATTAATACAATTTTTGTTTAACAAAAAAAAAATAAGATGTAGTTTTAATACATAAATTACTTACATTAAATAATTCTCTTAATGATTCTATTCTTGGATCTTTAGAAGAATCTTGATCATCTTCCATTGTCAAGTTATTAAATTTTGTTTTAATCTCATCAGTATCTTTATTAGTGCATATTCTTATAAAACCATCTTCAGTCTCTAAAATTAAAATATTCTCATTTAAAATTAGAAAAATCAAAGAAATTATATCATTTTACAGTTAATAAACATTTTCTTAATTTGAAACTAATATATACTGTATTTCCTAACATTTTACAACATATAGAAAACTGTTTTTTGGCCTAAAACTTACTTAAATATTGCAAAATATATTCTGTAAAACTTTTATATTGATATAAAAACTACTTGATAAAACTACAGTTGCTATCATTATCATTTACATTTTTCAAAAACTAAGCCCTAAGAAGATCTTATTCCATATTATGGACCAGCAAGGAGATATCCAAAATGTATCCATTCTCTGATTTTCTACTATGTTTGAATTCAAATCAGCATCTAAGAAATCTTTGAAAACATGGTTTCTCCATTTTCTTTCAAATAGTCCAGAATTATTTTCAAGACTTTCCACTAGAGATGCCACGAATATTCGGCTACTATTCGGTATTCGGCTACTTTTTTTAATATTCGGTATTCAGCCGAATAGTACGCAACATTCGGCCGAATACCGAATACCAAATCATGAAAAAAAACCGCACATATTACTCAAAAACGTATTTATTTTAATCATAAATTATTACATTTAATACTTAAAATCTATCAATGATAAGTTGCAATGAATGAAAACAATTTTTTCAGCATTTGTTGATAGCAAACGATTGCGCTTTTCCTCATAAACTATACCTGCTTCTGAAAATAGCCTCTCACTATATTATACACTACTGCTGGGAGATGATAGATAAATCTTAGCGAATTCTGTCAGGCTTGGATACTGTTTTGCGTTTGCCGACCACTACTTGTAAAGGTCTGCCTTCCGATCTAGGCGAACAGTTTTCATATACTAAAGTGATATAGTGATATTTTTTAGTAATAATTAGTAACGCAATTTGATGTAACAATGAACAAATAATGCATGTTGTGACATGATCTACTCGCAAATAAAACAAATGTGCCCGCAGTGTCGCCACCGCACCCACCATAATGTATCAGGTCGTAACATATCACCCGCGAAATGTACACATATTTTGCCGAACATTCGGCCGCCGAATATTCGGCGCTTCGGCCAAGAGCGTAGCCGAATGTTCGGTATTCGGTAAAATCACTATTCGTGGAATCTTTACTTTCCACTGTTCTTGTCTCTGATTATTATTAAATCAATATCAAGAAAGGAGTTGCATATGAGATATTTGGTCTCATTTCCTGAACCAAAAACATTAAACTTCAATTACGTATTGACAATCTTCATCACTATCATTTTTCTATGCATTTAAGTTTGGTTTTCTTCTATTGGGGTAAGAATCAATTTGCCCTCTTCCATTACATTCCATGATTGATTAAAATCTTTTATTAATTCTTGTTGATCAATACTTAATGTTTGATTTTTCTTATCTCTTGTAATTTGTATGCCTAATATGTTCTTTGGTTCTCTCAGATTTTTTTTTTTTCATTTCTGTTTGTTTTCTATAATTGTTGGATATTATTTGAAGCAATTACAATATCAAAGCTATTTTTAAATATTGTTTTGGTTGAATTTATCTGAAGAGAACCATTGAAAGGCAATCAAATATCAGTCTACATTAAATTAAACAGACTTTGATGAAATTTGAAGGCGTTAAGCAATTGGAATGTCAGTGAGAATATATTCTATATATTAGAATGAATCATATCAAAAGATGAACTGCTTAATTATATTTTATTATGAATTAGTCTAGATTGTTTCTAAAAGTATTTATTTGATTTTATAAAATCAATTATTTAAAAAAAAATTTATTTATAAATTTTTAAAAAATTCTTAATTATGTCTTGAAACTGATCAAAAAATAAATTTTATGGATTCTGGTCTTTAATTCTGTTGAGATGATAATAGAAATTGAATATTCTATTAATTCCTAAATTTAAATTTTAAAAATTTTCACTTTATTTTTAACAATGATTAGATTATTCATGCTCAACAATTCCTAATGATGATAAAATAAATATTATGTAGTACAAGAAATTAATATAAACATAACCAATCATTGTTTAAGTAATATCTTTGCATCAATGTTGCTTTAATTTATTTAAGATCAAAAATATCATAATTAAGTCTTACTTCTAATAAGAGTTTCAATTAAAACCAATTGAAAAAATAATACAGTGAAACCTCACTTAACGAGTGTAATTTGTTCCAGAATCTTACTCCTAATGCAAAACACTCATTAGGCAAAACAATTTTTCCCATATAAATTAATGTAAAATATGATAATGCACTCCATGCCAAAAAAATACTCAAATATTTTATGTATAATGTTTATTCCAAGAAAATTATACAATATACATGATTAAGGAGCATGAATCATCATCATCTTTTCTTCTAGTGCAGAATGAACCATCCTGGAATGCAAATTCAATTTGCAGGAAAAAAAAAAAAATCAGAGCTAATATGTCCAATAAACATGCCAAACAATATGCCAAATTCTTGGGCTATGTAAAGGCCAATTATGAATATTACAAAAATATTAATTTGTAATATTTAATTTGTAATTAAATATTACAAATTAATTAATTTGACTAGAGGTAGACAATTATGCTTCCATCTCATATTAATTTTAATAATTATAAATAATTAATTTTTAATTTAGACATTTTTAAAATTTAATTTGGAATTGGCCTTTAAATTTAATACAAGATGTGGGCAGTTATGTTGCCTACCTCTAATCAAATTAATTAATTTCTAATATTTAATTATAGCTGTTATGTAGCCCAAGAATTTGGCATATTGTTTGGCGTGTTTATTTTATAATTATATAAGACGGCTATGGTTGTTGATGTGTGAACACAAGTTTAGAAAAATATGTGATCACAAGCGACATTAAGATGCTAGCGAAACGAGTGCTAAACACATACTGATGAAGTATGCACTTACTCTGGGACTTTCCCTCTTCTCGTCACTCGTTAAGCAAGGTTTCACTATATATCATATTAATATTGTCATAAGGTAATTTAAAACAACGGAAAGGAATATAAATGTAAATTATTACCTTCCTTTTCCAATTGAATAATAGTATCTTCACTTGGAAGACCTTCAACTAATCTTTCACTCAAACGACTAGCTCCAGCTTGCAGAATCCACGTAAACCACAAGTGTAAGATACTAAATATATTTTTATCATTAGTCAATTCTGTCAAAGAACGTCCCTTGGCGTTGCCCCTCTGCCGACGGAAATTATTAGGTGTAGTAACTCTAGTAAATCGATTAAACCTTAAAGCCCTCTGTGAACTTTCTGACTGCTCCATAATGCATGTTGTGACATGATCTACTCGCAAATAAAACAAATGTGCCCGCAGTGTCGCTACCGCACCCACCATAATGTATCAGGTCGTAACATATCACCCGCGAAATGTACACATATTTTGCCGAACATTCGGCCGCCGAATATTCGGCGCTTCGGCCAAGAGCGTAGCCGAATGTTCGGTATTCGGTAAACGGCAAAATCACTATTCGTGGCATCACTAGTTAANTAATTTGAAAATATTTTTCTAATTTCATTAATTTCAAATAGTTTTATATTTTTTAATTTATATAATGTATTATAAATTAATATACTTGGCTAATATGAAACTATAAAAATAAACCTATCAATCAAATATGAGTAAATAAAAATATAATCATTCAGATTTAGAGACTAACAAGAACCAAATTTAAGTTTAATTAAACAATAATTTAATTCTACTATATAACACATCACTATAAATTTAAAGAAACATATTTAAATACATAAATACTTTAAAATACCTTTTTAGCTTTATCTTGCAACTCTTTAATAAAATTTTGGAAATTTTTCACCAAAAATTGCCATGAATTTAACAAAAATGTTTTGTCCATCATCACAACTATCATACTAAACCATCTTTGAAAACCTCTAGCTTGACTGTCTTTCATAAAAAATGTATGACTTAATACATGACCTCGACGATTATCTCCAAAAAATATAGGACCTTCCATTCCAGGGCACACCTAAGTTTTGATCAGAATTTGTGTGTAAATAATTAAATGAGATACTTTGTAAAATACTACTATATGAAAGTTTCATCAAAATTGTTAATACAGTAGAGCATCGATTATCCGAATACCGATCAACCGAAACATTGGTTAACCAAAAGCGTTCCAGTCAGCAAATTCAAATTTCTGCTAGTGCTGTGGCGTTGCAGCACTCTTCCCCCTCCCTGCCAACCTAAACTGTAGGCCTACTTTAATTTACTATATTATGTAAGGTAGGTATTTGTAAGATGTGTGATACAAATTATATACAGTAAGTTTTGTGTTTAATATATTTTTCGTAAATGATCGGTTATCCGAACAACCCCAGTCCCAAATTGTTTTAGATAATTGATGCTCTACTGTATTATAGTAAAATAAATATGCAATTTTTAAAACATTAAGATTGAAAAACATTTCATCGGGCGAGAACTAGAGGGATCCATCTGAATTAGCAACAATTTTACAGAAGAATTTGAAGTTTACAGTTTTGCCTACTTTTGCAGATAAGAACCAAATTTTCATACCAAAAACCTGACCTCTACTGCTCATAAAATGACAAAACTTTTTAACAGAAAGATGATTGTCCAAACAACAGATTAAAGTGAAAGAAAATGTAGATAAAATCCTCCAGTTCTCACTTCAATTTTTCTAAAACCACGTTAACAAACTATATGAAGTTGTTTCTCTATATCAGCAATTCCCAACTTTTTCTGACTTGTGTACCCCTTGGCAGTCCATTTCTCTAAATTGTACTCCTTATATTAGAAAAAAATGTTTGTACTTTATATAGTTGCATTTTAAACTTGTTGCAATGGTAAATAAATAACAGTGATGTGGCAAGGAATGCACACAAGGCCACCAAATTGATAAAGATTAAAAGGTTATCTGTATAGGTACATATGTTTAGTATTTGGTGTTTTATCTACTTTTCTACTTACCATACCATTGCCCTTCAAAGTTGGTTAATAAAAAAAAACTAATAATAAACTATATATATATGCATTTAAAACTCAGAAAATCAATTTGTTGAATTCAAGTTATATAATGTTGCCAGAGGACTCAACGCAGAATTCAAATATTCTTATGCTACAACCACCATTATTAATTTTTCTTTGTGTACCCCGGTTGGGAATCACTGTTCTAAATGCACAAAAGTATACTGTAGTTAGTTATTCATATAAAGTTAAAAAAAGTGTTAAATATAATTAGAAAAACAATTATTCAATCGTATATCAAATATACTTTATTAATAAATACAACATGTAACAAAATCATATATTTCATTTTTCTTTGCAAGTTACCTCATAATTGAACATTTCATAATTAGAAATGCTCACTTGTGAGATAACTTGTGAGATAATTAGAAATGTTCAGATCAGATCAAAATGTTTAAAGAACTGATCAAATCCTAGAATTTCTATATCCATTTTTACATTCAACAATTACATTAACTATGTTAATCTTTCTTTTAATTTTCAAATATATTTCATCGTGTTATTCCTATAATTTACTAAATAGTGATTAGTCACATAGTCAATTGTCAAATCAAACCCTAAATACTCACTTCACACAATGGTCTGCAAGTAAAACATTTTACATTTTTGGATAAATAATGAATGCAGATAAACAATAATTTTTTAAAATCTGTTAACAGAATTCACTAAAGAAAATGTTGGCACACTAAATAAGACAGATAAATCAAACTATAATTAGCTGACTTTAGAAGATCTGAAAGTCATAAATACAGGGTACAAAAATCAGCAGACATTTAAATAGTTGATATTTCAGTGAATTTTTTGATGTACGGTACAGTAATAAGGTTAGCATGGAAATGCATAGAATCATGGAGGTTTCTTCCAGAAAGATGTCAAAATTAGTTTCAATTATGTCCACCAGGTGGCCCTTTACCATGGATGCCATCTTGCAGGTGTCCTGAAATGCTGTCCATAAAATTGTCTTCAGGCTGTGTTTGACATTGAACATTTTCTATAATGCAGTTCTTGGTGATTTTACAGATCAAAGCATCTCCTGGTGGACATAATTGAAACTAATTTTGACACCTTGCTGAAAAATCGGAAATCCCTTTGTGATTCTATGATTTCCATGCTAATCTCGTTACCATATGTTAAAAATTTAATGAATATAGATTTTTTTTAAATGTTTGTTGTCTTTTGGATCATCCTTAATACAGGGTAATCCAAAAGACCAACCTGGGAGACAAAACATACCAATAATAATTTTATCTTATTACAATATACTAAATAAATCAAAATTTCTATAGATTTTTTAAAATATTATATTTGATTATAAAGTCATTAGATTTATATACTTTAAATTTAAATCTACATTTAAAAAACTAAAATATAAAATAAAAATTTACATATTTTATTAAATAAAAAAATTACCTCACAACTTAAGCTTCTAACACAGGCATGTCTAACCATACTGAACACTTCTGGATGAAGTGGATGTTGTCCACTGATATAACTAACTCTAGCTTCATGATCATTACTAATAAAACCTTTTTGATTTCCAGTCATTGAAGTACATCCCTAAGAAAAATTTTAAAGTAAAAATATACATAAATTACCGTTTTATTGATTCCAATTGTTAATTGTCAATTAGCTATAATGTCCAGATAGTTTCAATAATTCATTATTATTAAAAAAGCATTCATTTTTATTACAGGATAAAAATAAACAATTTTTAAAGTAACTTTCTAATATAAACGTAAATCCTGTAAGTAAAACTTTTACATAGAAATTAGTTTAATTGGGAGTACCAATTAATTTGCAACATATCCTGAAAAGTACACTGTCAATTTATGCTGAAAACAGCTAGTTATGTATTTACATGCATTTTATTTATATTATTTTTAACTAGAACTGATGACTAAAATGAATCATTGAAACATCCATCAAGCAATCATAGATTCAATTTAAAATAAAATAAATATATAAAAGTATTATCATCATTGTTCAAGAAAATTATCTTCAATTCTTATATGTTGCTATTTGATATAGAATTATACAGGGTGATCAAACATCACACATGTCAGAATAGTTTTGTAAACTGTGTGTCAAGTTATTTTTAACTATAGTGACTGCTGACTATTAACAGAAACTCTGAGTTTTGTGTTAAAGTCATAAAATTGGCTGCAGTATAGCTCTGTTCATTGAGAAAGTGAAATGATTTTTTCTTACGAACAATGGATTTTCATATAGAAAAAAGATCATATAATTAATATTATACAGAAAAAATATTTAAATTTTGATGAATTAAGAAATAATCAAAACTCACTTCACAAGTATCAGGCGCTTTGTCTCCAGAGATTTCTCCAGATATAGAATTTGATCTCTGTAAAGATTCTGGGGGACCATACCAAGATTTTTTTGGAAGTGGATTTTCATTATTTTCTTTAATAGGCCATGGTCCTTCTGAGTCATGAAAAGACTGGGTACAAAATAAAATACTTGGTCCATGAAGCTCACAAAAATGACAAAGAGCAACTACTGCATTCATCTGTAATATATTGACAAATTTAATTATAAATGCCAGTAATTCAAAAATTTAAATTTATCTACAGTTAATTATAAATTTAAATATCAAAGAATTATATTTTAAAAATATAAAAAATGTATACATATAATTAACTTCATATAATCAGATCACTCCATAAGTAAAGTAGTTTTTCTGTACTTTCAAAACTAATAAATGAAAACTTGTTATAAAGTTGTTTTATCAATTATATATTTTCCACTAATGCCTGTGTGTTTCCTTTGAGCTGCTAAATTTTCAATATTTTGTCTATAAAATTTTTATAATTTAGATTTAAAAACTCAAAGCAGTGCTAACTTCATCTACAGTAACCATGTTTTTTTGGCTAAATGATTCTGAATGATTCTAAACAGATAATAATCAGATAATGTTAAGTGAAGTGGATGGCTTATCCTTTCTCACTTATCAGCTAACCACTTCCAGAGTTTTTAAAGTCTGTGAAATTAGTGTTGGACCTGTTGAGATCTTGTATGAAGAGAACACCTATTGTATTGATGAAGAAGGTTGTTTTTCTTCCAAAGCAAATTTCAGAACTTACCTTTTTTCTTCACCACCTATTGAGCACCCACATTATTCACCAGACCTGGATTCTACTTCTTCCCAAGATAAAATTAGTGCTCAAAGGAACCTAAGTTTTGTAAGTAGATGTGAAAGCAAAAATGATATAGATCTTCAACAGCCTTTCAAAAAATGATCTACAGAATTGCTCTGAACAAGGCAGCATCATGTGGTAACTGCATAAAATTTGGTTTTCTAACTTGACACTTGAAATAGAATCTATAATCTTTGGAAAACTACTAAGATTCATAAGAGCAAACAAAACATTAATGCATATTCTTGTGCTTTTCTCTTTTATATAAATTGGTTAATCTGTCTATTACATCAACTTTTGCCTGTAGCAAACTGTGTTTGGCTTCTGCTTCCATCTTTCTTTAATATTGAAGTATGTGTATATGTTCCATCGTGTAAGAAATATATTGTTATCTGCCTTAATCTGAAGTGTCTTTAAAATTAAATTTGATAGGTAAAAGCATGTATTAATATTATTACAAAATACTAGTGCTGAAATAGTTTGAATAAACTAAATAGTTTTCTGCTAATAATTTTCTTATGTAGGCCAAATGCATTTTTTTTTTCCCAGATTCATTTTAAAATGCTGAAAAGAAAGTGTCAATTTTTGGACGAGCTGCAGAAAAGATTTCTGTCTTTTCATCAAGGTCAAGAGGAATGAGAAACAGAGTGTATGATATGTACTGGTACTCCTGGCACTTATGCTTCAGTGGCTAATCATGGTGCTAAAGATTTAGAGATCCACATCAATTCAGAAAAACATTCCAGAAATGTAAGAGGAGCAAATTCATCAGAGATAGTAACAACATATTTTATCAAGCCTAACACATAAATGGATAATAAAGTCAGTGTTGCAGAGGGTACCCTCGCATTCCATGTTGTATTGCACCATAATAGCTACAATTCAATAAACTGTATACCTATTGCTGAAAGAATTTTGAGAATTCATTGAGGTGGAGTACCAACAGTTACTTTATCATTGTAAAACATGTTGGTTGTCTTTATTCCCAGCAATTCAGAGAATTACCCATATGTTTCCAGCACTGAGATCATTATTTTTGACTCAGAACAAGCCTCCTGCTGTTTTAAAGCACTTCTTTGAAAATCCTTTAAGTGAAATGTATTTGCACTATGTTCAATCAGTGATCAGTGTGTTTCATTCTCACATTAGTGAAATAGAAAGAGAAAGCAATTCATTGATTGATGTAATAAAGATTCTCTCATTAGTGCAAGACACTTTAGAAGAAAGAAAAAACAAAACAAAAACTTCATTCCTTTGAATGTGAAAGATATGATTAAAGAGTCAATTGGATTTATATCAATTGTATTAAGACTGATAATGATTGCATATTATCAGTCATATGTTGAAGCTAATAGTATGAAAAGACAGCTTAAAAATGACTAACCTATTTGGTTGAAGATAATGATAACTATAACTGAAACCAGTGCTCTTTTAACTTACTGTTGATGTGCTTACATGGTGACTGAACATAATCATAAAATTCTTTTCACTGAGTAACTGCCATACTCCCAGCAAGAATAGTTGTCATATTCAACAGCCACCAGTAGCATCACAATTTTGCCAAAACTTGGAAAATTCAATGTGTAATTAGTTTTTGTAGTCTAAACAGTAAGTAGGACTTAAAGCCGAAATACATAATAAAATAAGTGCAAAAAATAGAGTTATAAAAATCTTTTGGCAGTGATACATTTTTATGAAATCTATTTATTTGGTATTTAGAAAATCATCATACAATTAACATATCTTCCAGTGAACACAGATTTAACTTATATATTTTAGATCTTGCTAACATTAAGCAACTGATAAGCAGATTTTACTGTATTCCACAAATTATATTTTCTTTCTCTTTTACTATTATATTAAATACATATATCTTGTATATTTTAATTCAATTAAATTTTTCCATTATTCAAATTACTTTTCCATACTCTTAATCACTGTAATAAATCTTATGAAATGACAAAATTAAATATCACCACTGACTTATATTGTAATATCAAAACTGTATTTTTAAGATCTAGTTAGCTTAACTGAACTCAGCTTCATTATGTTTGAATTTATCCTGTTTTTATAAATTCTTAAATGTTCATAAGTTATTTTTAGTTTAACTGATTAAAACCGAAACTTAATCAATTAACTGTTGATAACAAGTTAATGAAACAGCTGTAAAATTAATCCTTTATTAGATCTAAATAAATCTAGTTTTCATTAAATGCATATCATTCATTAAATACATCACATATACATCACACATATCATACATAATATACATCACAATACATCACAATAACAGAATTTAGTTTTTGTAATCATTTACATATAAAAAATGGTCTGTATTGTAAACTTTGATGAAAAAAACATGTCAAGTTATTTTTAGTTATAAGTTTTTGCCTTACAGATTTTCTTATATGTTATTTTTTAATTTTACTGTTCTTTGGTTTGAGAATATAGCTTATTTATTTATTTTGTATTATCATAATAAAGTTTTTGATTTTATAGATGAAGAATAATCCTACAACTGTTTAAATAAACTGCTACACTCCTTTATGAAGAATGTTGCTTTTTATTGTATTCTACTGAAAGATAAAATAGTTTAATTCCTGAACAATTTGGTTCATTAGAGTAAAGGTTAATTTATGTTTATAACACTTTTAAGTGTTATAAACATAAATTCACACACTAAATAAACAGTGTTATAATCAAGAAATTTTGAAGTAAATTTCTCTCTTTCAGATCATAAATGAAACCACATTTAAACATTTTACAGGATGTTTGTTAAAAAAAAATGTAACTTCTATCTTCTTTTAAATTGGAATGACTGATAATGCATTTCATTATACTTTTTAATTTTTTCTTGTTTAAAATGTTTGTTCTTAAAGTTTAAAATTATTATTACAGCTCTTTAGGGCAAAATTGAATTTTTCAAATAAATACTATTATAATTAAATTTATGAAGATAATAGCAAATTCCTGATAAATCAAAATATAAACTCTGAAGCTAATTAAAATAGCAATGTAAATCATCAGTTAAACAAATATTACATTTGATAAGCTAGAAATGAGGAAATAATTACATTTTAAATATGAACAAAAATGAAAAAAGCTGCATAAAAAAAATCTGTATTTCTGTTTTATAGTATGATAATAGGAATGTTTATATTAACTCAGCAAATGCACAATGTTGGCCTATTATATTCAATTTCTAATCTGAAAAGCTAAATTTATTTTTCATTATAATTAAAATGGCTGACATTTTTAAAATTAAAAAAATTTTCTTTTTTTTTTTCATTATTTCAAGTTTATTTATAAAATTTTAAATTACTATCCACATGTTCAGAACATGTTTGATTTCCTTTAAATTTTAATTTAAAGGAAAAGTTTAGTTATGTTTGAATTTCCTTTAAATTTTAATTTAAAGGAAAAGTTTAGTTATGTTTGAATTTCCTTTAAATTTTAATTTAAAGGAAATTCAAACATAACTAAACTTTGAGCCAATATAAGTCTAAAATCTTCAATGAAGGTTTTCAAAATCATTTTGTTTTTGATATATAGTCTTCAAAAAATAAAAAATCATGTCAAAAACCAATTTTAAAGCTCTTCCTAAAAAGATATTGTTTGCTTTCCACTCCTATGTTGGTTTATTTTAAATATTGAAAATTGTTTTTCTGTATACATACCACTGTGCACAAGTCACTGGTTTGGTGTATGCATCCACGAATGACATTTTGAACAGTTCTTGCAGATTATTCTGATTCATTTTATTAAAAAACGATATGTTATTCAAAGTAAATTTACATTGAAAAATTCAATTATTTTTTTACTGTAAAATGGATGAATAATCAAAATCTTAAAGTGGATTACATAAAGGCTTTATTTATGTTGATTACAGCAGGACCTACTTAATAACATTTACTTACCTCAATTGGTTGACAGAAGCATAAAAAAAATACAAAATCACTTTAAAAAGTTTACAACTCTAGTGTTAGTACTTTGGTGGAAAATTTAAAAAAACTGTACCTTTTTTTGGTATGACATATCTCAAAAATAAAGCAGACGTTGAAAAATCTTTATAGAGGATTTTAGGCTTATTTTCATTGTGTGTGTATATATATATATATATATATTACAGTATATATATACTAATATATATATATTAGTATATATATACTGTATATACACTTAAATAAAAAATCATCAATTTAAATAGTGTAAATTCTATTGCAATTTATTTTCAAAAATGAAGTAACACAATAATATTTAATGAAGAAAATTTATTATATTATTAAAAATTGTTATGCTGAATGAAGATTTATTATTAAATATTATTATTTATTGCCATAACAATTTTAATCCCTACAAATGAATGTTTTGTATATAGCAGAGAGCAATTTTTATTTGAGAGGCCACAAAACCATCAAATTCTAAAAATTTGTAGTCAGCAAAAAATCAAAAAGCCAGCCAAGGAAGCAAATTCTCTGACATTTTGACAATTTTTAACAAATTTCCTGACATTTCATGACTTTTTCTGAGCACTAATGAAAATTCCTGACTTTCAAAGTGCATAAGAACCCTGCACAACAAAGAATAAAATTTAATACTTTGTTCTTATTCAGTCCTTTTTTTTTATTGAGCATTGTCATGTGTGTCACTAATTTGTATATGATATGCAAATTAGTAACACACATGACACATTGCATATGATATGCAAACGATCAGCAATGTGAGTCACACAGAAATTTCTGGCTACATCCCTTCAAAACATAGCATAAATAAAGTAAGTCTGCTATTAGAATGACAATCAATACATTCAACATGTTCTAAAGAATTGTTTCATTAGAAGATATTCAGAAGAAAAATACTCTCCTTCCAGACTAGGTGGCAAATACACCAATGACATTTGTTTACTCACATACATAATGACTAGACACTGTCAACATCTTCATTTAATATAAACAGTAAACTGGAAATGTGTAAAAAACTTCAAATAATTTGTACATATTATATTTTAAAACTTTCAAACATGTTTTGTCCAAAATTCATTTTAAAGTTTTCATTAAAACATAGAACAAATCCTATAATTTATAGAAAGGAGTAGGGGAGAGAATTCAAAACGTGTAAAATTATATGGCATTATTTTATTAAAAACACATTAAAAACTACATAGGTTACATCTTCATGAATATAAGAAAAGTAAAAAAATACACTAAACCAATGAATTGTTTTGTTAAGTTACGGCAACACAACACTCTAGCGATCTGCCTACGGGGAATGCCTTCCGGGAGGTCTTTTTAAGGGTAACCGACCCCTATTGGGGCATTACAGACTTGGAGAAAATCTGGAAAACTCCACGTGGCCAGCCGCGAACCCACGACCGAACTCCCAGCATTTGGGGAACAGAACTGCTCAGCCACTAACGGGCAACAAACAAATAAAAAAATTATTTTATTCACGATACATTCCTGTTTCGTGAATAATTTTTATATAAATTATATAAAATATAAGGAAAGGAATACAAATCATTTATCTAAGAACTTAAATACGCAATTCATATTGCAAGTAATAGAATGAAACAGTGAAAAATAAAAACAATTAACACGTTAGTAAGATAGCAAAGCAAATACCATGTGACTAAATGATGATAATAGCGCAATATTGTTTAACAATAAAATTAGGTCAGTGTATATAACTTAATAGAATTTCTTTTTAATTATACGAATACTTAAAGTACGGGCAATTTATATATTACAAACTATTACAAATCTATAACTATTTTGACAGTTTATTATTATATATACCCATAAAGCAATACATTAACCTAAATATATGTAAATAATTACTTTTCATCAGAATTTTCATCCAAATTATTTTCTCTTCTATTGCCAACGACGTCTTTCTTAATTGAAATTAATATTCAACTCCGTTTTTAGTTCTTATAATGTAAAATCAGACTTAAAGATGTTTTAAATCGAAAGCCTTCTTCATAGCATGTTTATCACGAGGGCGCCACACCTAAATCTCCATTTCTATTTTTATAAATTAATTTTGGATTATTATTATTATTATTATTATATATCGAAATGAATATTTATTAATTAATCTCAATAAATGTAACTTAATAATAAAAATAATATTTGTATTAAAATTGCGTAAAAGTCCATCCTTTATATAAGGGGCGTTTTTTTCTAATTTTGCTCTCGAGACATCTCTCTAGTAGACGTGTCATGAACAAATAGAAATTTTTCGGTGCGTGGCGTATATTAGGTGATATAGAGGGTTATATGAATTTATATAATAAATATAAATTCATATAACCCTCTATATCGCCTCTTATTCTTTCTCAAAAAACATGTACCTCTCATAATCTGTTAATAATTCTAAATGAACTCCTATATATTTTAACGTACAATTCCAAGCTAATGCTCGTGTAGTGTAAAATACCAAACAGGATCTAAGCCATAGCTTTTATACAAACATAAATCTCTAAAATTCTCAAATACATCAGATAATAACAGAACAACCAATTTTAAATACAAATAATACCATTCACCTAGATTTTTTATTTTAAAATTGTTCCAGACTTTTCTAGCATGATCATACTCAGGCAAGCTTATACTTTCTTTTGTTAAGGACGAATAAAATTTTTCTATAGAAGGTAATCTTATTTCATCAAATCTCTCAAACGAGTCCATGTATTCATACGGATATGTACCTTTTCTAATTATTTTAGAACCTTGTTTTCTGCATAACGTATTTAAACCAGAAGCAAAAAGATACTTGTTTGATTCCCTTAATTGTTCTGGGTCTAGATTAGATGAGAGAGTATCTAAACTGCTGCTAAATATCTGAATGAATTTATAAACCTCAACTCAATGTATTCGTTACCAGCTTTGCTGGGAATTCTCAAAATCTTACTGAATGAAATGTATTTCTCTTCATTATCTGGAATCAATTTCAAGTTTGATTTGTCCTCGCCTAAATTTTTTACAAACATGTGACAATCGTAAGAACTCAGATTATGAAATAGCAATGGCGTGCCGACCTTGGAAGCGATGGAAGCGCCGCTTACCTTGTATTTTCTATAATATAAATACATATTGCGCGATTATTTTCATATTTTAACGTACTTTGAATTAATTAACCGCATTATGTATCTTATTACAAATTTCTATACTACGTGTGAAAAACTATTGTATATTCGAATATGAGCTTTACAAAGCACCACCATGCGGTTTAGCTGGTAGATTCTACACACCAAAACGCTTCCAATGATTCTATCCAGGATCGGTTCTGAGCTGTTGGCCGCCTGCCTGCTAGATATTTGGCTGCCATCGCCCCATTATTTGAATTGCGAGTAAATTTATAACTTAACCCAACCGATAGGAGTTTACTAGTATGCTTTTATAATAGTTCTTTATAGTTGACAGGAGTTTTAAAATCCATTAAAATATTTATTCTACTTTTATTATACTCTCCTATTTTGTATTACTTACAGATTTCAATGTTAAACTAGTGATACAGTATTACAATTAGTATGTCCTATCTATAAGGGGATGCATAAAAAACGTGTACAATTCTTGTACTGTACAATGCTTAAAAAATGAACTGTTACTTTGGCAACATCGTTTACAACTAAATTTAATGAATGAGATGAACAAAATACAAAAAAAAGCTCTAAAATTTATTTTCCTTAAATTTACGATTTATGTATCCGTTCTCATAAAAATGTCTTTCCACTTCTTTCCCAAGACTACAAATATTCAAGTACAAAGTAACCGGTTTCAACTTACTTCTACTCAAGAAGTAAAGTAATTAAATATTTAAGAGATTAGAGAATTAGGGACATAAATAAAACCCTGCTGAAAGAGGCAGAATATTACTTAAACAAAAACTTAAAGGTCAAGAGGGTAGGGAGATAGAGCGGTGGTCACGTGTGATATTTCAACATGGTCGGGGTTAATGTAGATTTTACTTGTTACTAGCATTTATAATTTTTTTTTCATACCCTTAAAATTAAACCTTTTGTCATTTTATAATAATAAAAAATATGAAAAGTTTACATAACACAATCTCACAACAGCCGAGAAAGTTACGCATCTCGTTGCTATTGATAGATTTTTTTTTTATAAAAACAGTTACATTCTCGAAACGAGCGATCTTTTTCTCAGTTTGAATATAAAAAGATCTATATTTGATTGTTTCGTGTAAAATACATACACGATATTTTCTATCGGTCAGGTGAATTCATAAAATTTGCTTATTTAATCACACTAATTAACGTTTACGTAACTAAACTATAAAACGCATATTTAATATAACCGATGACGTCACGTAAGCGCTCTTAAAATGGCGTCGGATAAACGAAATATTACGAAATTCAGTAAAAATTGCGCTGTCGGTCAATCGGAAACTTCGTCCGTAAATACTGGAGAACGAGAGGAAGGATTTCTTCTAGTTTTGGGGTTGGCGAGGTAAAGATGACATTCGATTTTAGAAAATGTCGCTTCTAACCCCCTTGTGGAGAATGGAAACCGAAGGCGGAGGGTGGTAGGGAGTCTCTCGATCCCAATTCGTCGTCACTCTGGAGATAGAAACGTGAAAAATGCAGATATTTAGCCTTAAAATTCAAAAAGAATCCGTGACGTCAATCGCATTCGAATTCGTTGCGAGCTTTCTAATCTCGCAACAATTGCAGTTTCTATGGAAACGCGTATTGTTGCAACACGATTTTGCGTCACTTTGCACGTTTTTCGCTTGCCGGACAGACGTGTGCGCTCTTTGCTCTTGTTTCTGCTGTGTTTTTTGCCTTTTTTCAGTGTTTTTTGCCTTTTTTACGTGGTTTTAAGAAGACTTGTGGACGCCGACATTACACCAAGTAAGATTTTAATTAGAATTTAGCTAGCTGTAAGATTTTATTTTCGTTTCGTTTAGTCCAACTCTCGGAGACGACATCGGCCGACTCGGACTTTGCATATTTGCGTTTAAATCTGCCGTCGCTTGTGTTTTTCGTTTGAATTACCATCCGAAACGCACCTCTTTCGACTTTAAACCAGCCGCCATATTGGAAAGCGACCAAAGCGCCGAAAACGACGGAGGCAAAGGATTAAGTATTTGTTCATTGGTTTATTTTCGTAATTAATTAATTTAGATTATATTTTATAAACACGGTCAAAGAATAAGGATTATTTGCAAATATTTATAGAAATTCGATTAAAACTTATTTAATACTAACTCTAAATACGAACTGCGTATCGTAATTTTAACTAAAATATACACTCGAAACCGGATGGACCGAAGGATACACGGAGACCGTATTCTGAAGCATGACACGTTCCTTCGACATATCCGGGTTGTCAAAAATTTTTCGTCCTTTCACCTCCGATTTTGCCATTGAATCTATGTATTAGTTACAACGCTTTTCAATGGCTTACTTTGCGAGAATTAAATTGTCTGCAGCTGTGCGACTTAAAACACAATCTAATACACTTAACAGTTATCTATACAGGCTGGACACAAAGAATTCTTTTCCTTAAGCTGTTTGTCTCTTTCCACAGTGCGGTCTTTACCGAGTGCAGTCCATCTTCCACACTTACGTAAACCTCTGCAAATGCTTTGTGCCACTTAAACGTTCGTGTCCCGGCTGCGGGCACGTCTTGTGTTTTCGTCGACTCTCCTACGGAATTTCTTCACACGAAATTCTCTCAAATGCCATCGTTGCGGTTAGGTGACGCACGTTAGGGTAAATTGCTCTAGAACGAAACACTCGTTACGACTTGGGCTCGAGATCGAGTATGAGTGCCTTTTGCGCATGGCTACTTTTCTGTCTTGTCTTTACTTTTCTGTCGTACAAATAAATACAAATTACACGTAAGAGAATTTATTCGTTCCGGGTCGGTCGTCTCTACTGCAAATTCAGTTGGAACCTTCTAGCAATTTCCGGTAGGATCTAACACGAGCTACACGAATTCAGATCCGACGTGAGTATAATCTTGAGCTTTTTCTGCGTTAAGTATATCCGCATTCCATTAATATATATTTTTTTCTTTACAGAATGAAGAGCTGGCGGTTTTGGCGTTGGCTGCGGCCCAAGAAGATGAAGAAGTGTGAAGGGCGTTCTCCTTCCGCAATAGATAAAGAGAGGGTCTTTTCCCCCTTTGAGCGGGGAGAGGAACTCTCTTCCATCGATTGCGGAAGGGGTTGTTCCTTCACGGGATCGCCTTCGGGAATAGCGGATGTCGACAGCATTCTCTGTTCCGCGTTGAACGGAGAGGAGACATTTCGCCATTCGGACGTGTTCCGAAAGGTGAAATGTCTCCATGTTGACGACATCATCTTTGACGCACTGGGAGGGGAGGAATGTTTCGATCATTCCTCCCTTTTCCAACGAGTGGGATCCTCTCGTTCGGTGTGGGCAAAGATGGAAAGGAAAAAGCGTCGCTTCGTAAGAGAAGTGAACGACTTTTTCCTTTGCTATTTCTGAAGGATATTACTAACCTAGGATAAGAAGGCAAGAGGTTTTTTTCGTTTGTTTTTTCCTCTTGTCATACTAACAACATTTAAATTTAAGGTTTTAGTTTCAATTTACTAACGTAGGATAAGAAGGCAAGAGGTTTTTTTCGTTTGTTTTTTCCTCTTGTCATACTTATATTTACTAATTTAGGATAAGAAGGCAAGAGGTTTTTTTTTTTTTTTTCCTCTTGTCATACTAACATTCAAACTAAAACCTTAAATTTAATTTACTAATCTAGATGTAAGAAGACAAGGGGTTTTTATTTTTTTCCCCTTGTCGTACTCACATTAGTTTAGTAAGTCACATCCACGCACATAAACAACAACATCCCTCACGCTGAAACACACAGTTCAAACAACGACACATTCGTCGCATCCAATCACCAACCATTCCATTCACGTGCATTATAAACAACACCGTTTCACAACACGAACACGCTTCTCAAAATCCAACCTCTGGGTCCACGTCCCGGGAAGCGGTAACATCGGTCGATACGACCGATGGCTG